GATTTCTGGTGCTTCCAAGTAAATTTCTTCCTTTAATAAACCATTTAAAAAGGCATTCTTGACATCCAACTGATGAATGTAAAACTTTTTACTATTAGATACACTCAGTAAAATCCTCAAAGTTGACCAGTTTCGCTACTGGTGCATATGTCTTTGAATAGTCTTGACCCTCCTTTTGTGAACACCCTTTTGCCACTAATCTCGCCTTGTATCATTCGATTTTTCCCTCTTTGTTATACTTTACTGTAAATACCCATTTGCTTTTAATAACTTTCTTGCCCGGAGGTAGCCTCACCAATTCCCATGTCTCATTCTCCTTCGGAGCTGATATCTCCTCCTGTATTGCTTGATACCATCTCTCCTTATCTGGCCTGACTTCTATCTCTTCATAGCTTTCTGGCACCTCCTCACAATATGCAATAGCTTTCATCGCAACCTCATACTCTGAACTATCATCTGTCCTTCCATCATCTGGCATATTTGTTAACATAGCTAACTCCACCTTATTGTTCCTTTCCTTGGATATTAATTCCTCATACTCATCCGTCATCACTACAGTAGAGTACTCATCGAGATACACTGGTCTCTTATGAATTCTACTGCTCCTGTTTACTTCCAGCCTTGTCTCTTCCATTTCTGTTTGGTTTTGATCAACTGAACTTCCTGTTTCCACCTGACTATTTCTCTCCCCAATATTGAGCTCATCTTCTGCACTCACCTTTACTTCATCACCTCTATTTTGCTCTTCTTCACTTACACTGATAATCTCGTTTCCTAACTCTCCTTCGAACGATGTCCTACTTTCATTAAACACAACATCGCATGCTGAAATGATCTTTCTTTCAAATAGGCTCCACAAACTATACCCGTTGGGGCAAAATCCTAACAAAATGCATTTCTTGCTCCTGGACTCCATCTTATTACCTGTATCAGGCATATGTTTCTTAACAAATGCCACACACCCAAACTTCCTGAGTTTTTTTAGATTTGGGCAAGTCCCATACCAAACTTACCAAACTTCTGCAGGAACCTTATTTCCTTCAATTGCCTTTGTGGGACTTCTGTTTATTAGGTACACAGCCATAAGGGCTGCCTCTATCCAAAAAGTTTTCTTTAAGTTTGAACCTCTTAACATGCATCTAGTTTTGTCTTTAATTGTTCGGTTCATTCTCTCCGCTACTCCATTCTGAGCACTTGTGTATGGTATATTCAACTCCCATTGGATACCTTTTTCCCTGAAAAATGTAATTACTTCATCATTCACATATTCCCTGCCATTATCATATCTAAATTGACAAGTTTCAACTGAAAATCTCACAGTAGCCATTGCTACATATTCTTTCAAATATTGGGAAACTTCACTTTTATTTTTTAAACCATATGCAACCGTGAAATGAGAGAAATCATCTACTACAGTTAGTAAGTACCGCACTCCATTGTATCCGGGGGGATTGATAGGACCAAACACATCACTATGAATTCTTTCAAATATTCTGTTCGCTCTTTCCCTAGAATGGGAGTGTGACACACTCACTCGTTTGCCTTCAACACATATGTCACATATTTTATGTTCAAACTTATGAATACAGTCCATACCATCTACTGAATTCTGCAATTATCTCAATCCTTCTACACTAATATGTCCCATCCTCTCGTGCCACAGTTGCTCTACACTCACAGAATGACACTCCTCAACTTCTGTTCCAACCTTATATTGCAATTTATACAACTTTCCATGTCTAACTCCCTCAGCAATCTTAATATCATTATACCAAATGGCAAAGTTCCCCTTTTCAATTATCATCTTACAGTTTTTATCCTCAAGTTTGGAAATTGATAACAAATTAAATTTCAAATTGTCCACTAACAACACATTCTTAAATTCAAGTATTACTGGTTTGCCATTGACATAAGTTATCCCTCTCACCCCACTTCTTTTGGCTTCCAAAAATTTCTTACTTTTAGCAATGTGTATCTTTACTGGATTCAAAAGGACCCTTACATTGGTTGCTTTTGTATCGGCTCTCACAAGGTGATCTGTAGCTCCCGTATCTAGAAGCCAAACACTTTCATCTAAATCACTCATATTCCTTTTATCTATATAATTTGCACCAGCAGAAATATGGAAACTATATACTCGCGGTTCTGTGTCCTCAGGCACAGATACTTGATGGACGTCTGTTGTTCTCCTTCCGTAATTGTTATAATTTCTTCCTTGGAGATTACATGGTCCTCTGCCTAGATCTCGTTGTGGTAGATTTACCGTCTGCTGATACCGTCCACCACGGCCTCCTTCTTTTTCATCTCTATCACTTCTCCTCGGTTGTACACTTCTGCTTCCCCTCAAATTGGCTCCTCCTCGTTGAGCACCTCCTCCTTGTTTGAAGCATTCCGCCACCTTATGGTTGGTCATCCCGCAAATATAACATCCCAATCATGTGGAATAACCCCGAGAATGGTAATTTCCCCGACTTTGCTGATACCCAGTGAATGCAGTAGTTAATGTTACATTAGTTGCCTTCTTCTTCTTTTTCTATCATCTTCAGATTCTTCAGTATGTTGGCGCACCCCCTCAAGCGTTAATTTAGATGTGGCTACAGTTCTTAAGGCTGTTACTACACTTTCATACTCAGCCGGCATGGACAATAAAAATTGTATGACCACACTCTCATCATCATGACTTTCACCTGCTTGTCTCAAGTCTCGAATAATTCTGTCAAACTTCACACAAAAATCTTCAAACCTTTCTTGAAATGTATTATACAGGATGTCCCAGGAGCAATGTGCCAAACTTTGGGAAGGTGTTCCTTATGTTAAAGTATGCCGATATAACCCTAAACACCTATGTCCAAAGTTGAATGGTTACGGAGATAATGGCCAGAGAAGTATGAAACTTTGACCGGTGTTACACACTTGTTGATTATAAAATACATACTAAAACTGGCAGGAATATGTGGTTTCTGTAATGTTAATAATGTACGTAACATCAAACTAACTTGTGAGTGACATGAAGCCATAAAATTGAAGTACAAAATACTCGCTCTCCATGTCATAATTGTCCTTAGGTTTCCAAGCACTATACATGACGCATGACTGGCAAGCGCTGACATAACATGGCTGACTGTGCTATAAGCCGATCACATAACTGTATTAAACGTACATTCACGGAAAATCTCTTTTGGAATTTTGTTTCCATTGTCTCATGTGGATTATTATGGGACCACGTATGCACATTTCGTAAATTATTTACACCATCCAGGGTAAAAGACACATCATCACTGAATAAAATGACGCTTAACAGTTCGGGATGAGCTTTTATCCAGTGGCACAAATCCATACGCTGAGCATGGTCGCCTGGTTCCAGATNTTTCCAGATGATGTACCCTTTGATCGTGGTAAGGATACAACTCTTCATCATGTAAAGTTTGCCACACCTGCATACGTGATCACCGATGCGACAGGCCATACTATGAGTGGACAGACGCGGACTTCTCTGAACCATCTCAAGAACGTCCTCTTGTGTGTTTAACATTCGTACATCCTCCCTTTCAGAGTGCACAGAAACACTCGCAAGAGAACCAGTATCACGCAGTGTCTGGTGAATTTGCGTAAATACACTTCGACATGTAATCCTTCGATCGGGAAAACGCCTTTGGTATTCTTCAACAGCAGCACGTGCATTGCCACCGTAAAATCCACACACAAAATGCATATCACAATATTCCACGTGTGAAAACACAAAAGGCATTTCAGCAACTCCGCACAATTAANGACGTAACGTGCTGACTGCGCGTTCTGATAAAGCCAACTCCATAAGCACGGATAGGATGAATCACGGCAGTCAATGACAAACATAGATAAAGCATCTCAGCTGACAGGTATAGTGCATGGACCCGCCAGAAGACTACACTTTTCTCGGGCCATTATCTCCGTAACCGTTCAACTTTGGACATAGGTGTTTTGGGTTATATCGGCATACTTTAACATAGGGAACACCCTCCCGAAGTTTGGCACATTCCTCCTGGGACACTCTGTATATACACAATTGTAGTTTCTTGACAAGATTTATTCTGCTTGTTGCGCTTACTTTCAAAAATCTGTCCTCAAACGCCTTCCACACTTCTCTCGCTGTGGACTTGCCTTTCACTATTTCTAACTGATTATCTTGAATCCTCTGTATAATATAACTTTTGCATCTTTTGTCCTCTTTTTCCAAGTTTCTTCAGTTTCTCTACCTTAGTCCTCTTGACTGCTGGTGTGTCTGTTTCTAGTATCTCATGTGGTCGCATAACCTCTCCCAATGATTCCT